ACTATTACCTAATGGCCGGTGACGTCTAAAAAACCTTACAAAAGCAACAGTTATTCAAAGCAGCCTTTTTTAGAATTTTGAAGACTTTTGTAGACGTTGAAATTTTTGAAATGTTACGAAAGTTAGGGGAAAAATAATAGAAAAAAGTATCTACCAAAACAATTAGCTGTTCTCGAAATATAAAGTCTTCTTATAATGATAGTACTCTATTTGATTAATAATCCTTAATAAGTTTCATATTTTAAATATTCCATATTTCTCGCAGAAGATGTTCATATCTTTGATGACTCGTATAATGGTATAAATAAAACCCAATTGGCACATGTACCAACTCAACTACTAACTAAATTATCTGGAATTAAATAGTATGTGTGTGTACTGATGGATTGACCCTTTGGCCAAATAATAATATGCTTGTATGAAAGAACTATTTTGTCTAACAAAATTATATCTTTCAAATGCACTTAAATAGAGCTTCAATTCGAAATGGGTTGTTTGTGTTAGTTAACAAAATTCTTTTTTGTACAATAATGTTATGTGAAACATAAAGAAGTTAGACTAATGCAACGTGAATTGGACTAAAACCATTCAAACTCGCATTATAACTTATAATTTGTTGCTATATATCCCTTAAACCATATCAAATTATCGATATATAAAAATTCTATGACATGTTGATGGGACTCATATGGACCCCAGTTGAAATTCCGACCTGAAAATATCATTATTTCACTTATACAAAACGACACAAATTAAGAATTTTGTTGTATCTGATCATGGCTAGATTGTTGGCTTGAATTGCAAAATATTTCAAATCTTAATAATTATGAGCTTATAAATTATAAAAATGTAGTTTATTTAAATTAAAAGTTANAAAATGGATGAAAGAAACCATAAATGCGACAGATAACTTAGTTCTGGATTCTTAATTGAGTTGGCAATAAGCAATTTTTTAATTGTATTTTTGATATTCTGTAATAAAATACTCCCTCCTATTCATAATAAGTGTCGTTTTGGGAAGTTGCACACTAATTAAGAATAATTTTTTTGCCAATATTAACCCTCATTAATGAAGATAGAGATAGATGTTTTAAAAAAAAGATGAAGAGAATATGAAAAGACGTAGTGTATTTATTAACTAAATGAGGGTAAAAATGGAAAAATATGTACAAAAAATTCAAAACGACATTTATTTTGGTTAATAGTTGATAAAGCCAAAATGACATTTAAAAAGAATAGGAGGTAGTACATGATACGATGCGAAAATGGTACTTAATTATCAAGTGGATTAGTTTATGAGGGAAATACAGTTAGGTTTGTGTTTAACTATTGGAGTGAAGTTTGTATTTTATCAAGTGGGTTGTGCTCTGTATCTTATAAATGCATGTTGATAATATTCAAGAGTAAGAGAAAATTGAATGTGCTTGCATTTTTATACATTTAAGATAATTTTATTGCCTTTGTTATTGGCATTTCGAAAATACATTTGAGACTCGTAATGCTGCCTAGTAGTTGTATGTAAACATAAACATTAATAACAAACATTGTATTCCCTCCTATTTATAATAAGTGTCGTTTTAAGAAGTTGTACAGTAATTAAGGATATTTTTTTTGTCAATAATAACCCTCTTTAATGGAGATAGAAAATGATGTTTTGGGAAAAAATGAAGAGTGAATATGAAAAGACGTAATGTATTTATTAGTTAAATGAGGGTAATAATGGAAAAATATGTACAAAAGATCCAAAACAACAGATTTACTGTTGATAATTTTATTAACTAATATGAAAAGACGCAGTGTATTTATTAACTAAATGAGGGTAGTATAATTTTATTGCCTTTGTTGTTGGCACTTAGGAAATACACTTGAAACTTCGTAATGCAAATAGCAACAGATTTACATTTACTGTTGATTAATTTAAAGCTGGATTAACAAAAACATAATTACAGAATGTGGGGTTGATTAATTCGTAGCTGGGATCAACTTAAACATAAGTAGAGAATATGGGTGGTTACGTGGTAGATTTGTGGCTGGAATCAACTTAAACATAATTACGGGGGTTAAACTTTTAGCTGGGATCAACTTAAATATTTAATCACATGTCTTGTATTTCTAGCTTACTGCAAAGATCTTAATAAACGAGTGATGTTGTTGTTAGGCTAGCTAATATTGTACAAATTGATAGTTTTTAATATAATTATATATTTTCATAATCAAATGTTATACTATAAATAAATTAAAATCATGTATTTTATAAAATAGTATATATATATATATATATAATCTTTTATTTAACACACATTTGTACCACTTTATTATTAATTTTGTGTATGTTATAGATTAAATTAATTAAAAGTAATAAGTGAATACGGAAATTAAGGTATTAGATTTGATGCTGACATTTTGTCCATATTGAAATAATAAAATTATTAAGGTAAACCAATATGATAGGTACATGAAATTAATATGGATATTCATGTCAATTAAGGTAAACCAATATGATAGGTACATGAAACTAATATGGATATTCATGTCAAAATCTTAATTTATTTATTTATATTATATTTTTATTTATATTATATTTTTTATATATATGAGTGGATTCAAATGAGAATGAGGTATGATGAAAGAAATAAAAATAATCGTGGACCATTGAATCCATCATATGTGCGGAATGAAATCTTCAGAGTCAATTTCACTAAATACCTTGGTCTCCCACTGGGGATTGAGAGATAAGAAATTCAAGCTTTTCAGTTTCTTTTAATGTGTGCAAAAGAGAGTTAAAATTAGAAGAATACTTGCCCTAGTAAGCAGGAAAAGAAACTATGATTAAGTCTGTGTTAGGAGCTCTCCCTACTTTTATGATGTCTTGCTTTAAAGTTCCTTCACATGTATTCAGAACCTTAATAGGGATATTGCTAATTTTTGATGGGAACAGAATGATTCAGGAGAAGATAGACTGCACTGGGCCAGTTGGGATAAAGTGTCAAACCCTAAGGTGTCAGGGGGTTTGGGCTTCAAAGATTTGAAAAGTTTCAATGAGGCTTTGTTAATTAAACAGTTATGGAGAGTCCTCACTAATTTTAATCTTCTTGTTAGTAACGTGCTAAGGCGCAAATATTTCTGGAACCAAAAGCTCATGGATGTCAAAGCTAAAAGCAATGACTCATGGCTTTGGAAAAGTTGGTTAGGGGTGAGGGAGACTCTTAAACTAGGTGCTAGCTACCATGTAGGGGACGAGAGGGTAATTGACATTTGGGATTCTTCATGGATCCCAAATAATTCTTCATATAAACCTCTTTGTCAATTTCCTAGTGACAGGATTAGACTGAGAAGGGTTAGTGATTTGATGGTGGAAGGGAAGGGGAACGGGATAAAGAGTGTGTTTTACAAACTTTTACCCCTCTTGATACAGATACAATTTTTAAAATTCCTCTAAGCCACATTGGCTTCAAGGATAGACTCATTTGGCACTGGAATTCTAGAGGTCGGTTTTCTGTCAAGGAGGCCTATAAGACTATCACAGAGAAGGTCAACAAGGTTAGAGACCTCCCAGAATCAAGCAGGGGGAATAACTCTTTGAAGAAAATGTGGCAGGCCATTTGGACTCTTTCAATCCAACACAAAATCGAGTTCCTTTGGAGGTGTTGGCATGGGTGGATAAGAGTCAAAACGAACGTACCAAGAAGAGGAGTGAGTCTGGATGCAACCTGTGAGATCTTTAAAGAACACCAGGAGGACGTAAAGCACATGTTATTTCACTGTCAGAAGAACCTACAAAGGAGAGGAGTGAGTCTGGATGCAACTTGTGAGATCTGTAAAGAACACCAAGAGGACTTAAAGCACACGTTGTTTCACTGTCAGAGAGCTGCTAAATACTGAAAACTAACTGGGCTACATTGGAAACATCTCTCAAACAAAAATATTGTTATATCTTTCACTAATTGGTGGTGGGACATTTGCACAACAGGGAATGCTAGAGAGCTTAAAGATAGAATCAGTCTTTCTAGTTATATATGGTGAACCCGCAACTCCTGGCTTTTCAATAAAACTTGGATAATTGAGTTGAAACTAGTGAAAAGGGCTTCGGGGAATTAGCTTCAGTTCTATACAGGGAGAACACACACAAAGTCACAGCCCGTCGTCGGATGCCACCAGCCCTGCCACTGATAAAGTCGCTGCCACTGCAGCTACAGCCGGCCGCCAGAATCCTCCTCATACAAGCTGTCTCCGTCGCGCCCTTGCAATCATTGTATTATAATATCACTTGTGAGTTGTCCCACATTGTTTATACAAGAAAAATAGATCTAACTTATAAGCCTAGTGGGCTACTCCTCCTACCACCAATTGGTTTTTGGATGAAACATCACTATGGTGCATCTAGACTCACCCTTTTATGGTGCGCTTCCCATGCATGGGACTACACCCGTTTCCACCAATTCTTTCACACCGTATTCAGTCGCCGGCGATGTCTCCTTGAAGAATCAGACATGGCGTAGTGGCAATCACCATATTTCTTACATTTTCATGTGGAACCGTCTATCTTCTTGTGCTCCTTTAAATTTTACGCTTTATTTCTTGTATTTAAAGACTGCCATATGTTCATTGAGATTACTACTCTGCTGCGGATTTCACTTCAGGATTTTATGAACTCTTGCTTTTTAATCAAAAATCAAAATCATGCCAATCGAGCACAGAAATTAATGAATCTACTTTGCTTATTTTATTTTGCCAAAATGACTTAGCAACACAAGCAAACAGGTAAAGTAAAACTAACAGGCAATTCCAAAACCGCACTTATATGTCGAGGTTAAATTTAGGGACCTGAAGAATGATGAATTTTAGGTGTGGTGAAATGTGATGGAAATGCAATCTAGGATGTTGATTTGAGATAAATAATAATAATAATAATAATAATAATAATAATAATAATAATAATAATGAAAAAATGTAAGATGATGCTACTATGTGATTGTCAACTAGGTTTGAGTAACCAAATAATCAGAGATGTATTCAATTAGGATTTCAAGTGACATTTTGAAACTTTAAGATTTCCAGATTTTGGAAGAATTATGTGAAATTTCATATAAGGTTTTTCCTTTAGAAATTCCATCAAATCTTAAAAAGTCTCAAATCCTACTATCAAATAATTTAACAACCTCTATATTTTGCAAGATTTTTTAAAATCTCAATTGAATATCCTCAAAATTTTAAAATCTCAATATTTCAGCTAGTGAATGAAATAAAAAATCAATCATTTCCATATTTTATCAACCTCCTTCCTCAACAACGCCAGACAGCAGACAAATCATACATACCTGTGTGTACATATATATGTTTATGAGTGAACCCAATCACAAACACGAATTTTAGTTATTTCTGCATTTATACACGCAACAGCGCTTTTTCTATGGGAGGAAAAAATATGATACAAAATAGTACATAAAAACATATACCTTGCCATCTATTTTATGTAAACAAATATCCCCAAAAAAAAAGGACCAAAGGCTTTCAGTATCATCATCAAAAGCACACGAAACAAAACATCTCTACTCAGACTCTACCTAGCAACTTGCTGTAGAGTAGGCCAAGCAAACTCTTCATCTTCCGTGTGTCCGTTTATGATGAAATCCGAACAGTTTTTCCAACAACCGTGATTGTACGGGTTCCTAAACCGACCGTCTGGGCCCCGTAGATATCCGTAGCGTATTGCATTAGCTACTTCATTAGTTGTGATATTCCGAGCAATCTGCGTAAAAATAAATAAATGAAATGTGTATAGAAAACTCAAACAACCACTTGTACCAAAATTGTAAGCTAATAATTGAAAAAAAATAATAATAATAAAAAAAAAAAAATAGCGTCAAAAGGGAAAATTTTTTTTTGACAAAAACAAGTACTTGACCTGAGTTGCCTGTACGGACAGTAATGTAGCTGAAGCAATCAATATAGCTCCATCCATAATCAGGAAAGCGGTTAAACCGGGATGATTAAAAATCACATAGTGAATCCATGATTCTCCAGTTGACGAGGCTGGTACTGATGACCAAATTCCTGTTTCATAACACAAGTTGTCATATATTTCAATCGGGATGTTTGTTCCACCTGCCTAACCCTAAAATCTAAATGAAAATCTAAAATAGGTTTGCAATCGGGATGTCGTTCGCATTTTGGTCCATTTTCCTAAACCTCGTTTCTGTACGTACGTGGATTGAGGAATTTTCAGTTGAAGTTTCCTAAGTAACTTTAGTGGTATATAGGTTTGCAATGCAATAAAAAGAAGCGACTATAAAGGGTGAAAAGGATTGAGGCCCTATTGCAACTTGAGGTTATCCAAACAAGTCCAAGTATAATTGTTACGCTGAAGTTTAAGTCTTAAGTCCGGAAGTATTCAAACATAACTCAAGTAACTTTTCTAAAGAGAGTGAAATCAAGGCAAAAGCAACATTCACCAGTAGTCATTAATGGAAATGCAATTTCTGGATTCAATAGAAAACATGGGGACAGTTGATAAAAAATTCGAGCTCAAATTCATAGATAATAGAAGTGTATCTATACCAACATACTTTGTAGAGCAACTGCCCCACCAGTTAATGCTGTCAAAGTCCCCATGCATAGAAAAATTACAAAATCCCGCTTATTCCTCTGCAAATCTCAGGATGAAGTGGCATCAGTAATGAATATCAAACCCAGATAAAGTTAAAAAGAGAAAAAAAAAAAAGAACAATGCAAAGAATACAGCTTCATCAATAGACTAGCGTATAGATCATTAATTGACTCAAAACTCATAACGAGGTTAAGTAATATATAGATATAATCTGCTACAGCTATATTTGGTTAGCACAACTGCTTCATAATTATTCCAGACGATTTCCATGCGCGTGAGAAACATATGAGGGCAATCATGGAAACCATTGAATAGCAACCAATATTCTAGGAAATAAAATTGCAAGTTTCTAGTGAAATTCCATCCGAAATAGGGGAGGTAAAGAGCGGCCAGTGAGTACATAGCAAAGGTAATACCAAATCATTCAAATAAGAAACCACACGTTCAAAGAAAATGAACTGGTAACATTTTATATCAAGCTCTAGTCATCATAATTTCTTACGATTATGCAGAACATTTATTTTTAGACTGCATCAAGTACTTTGAGATAGCTTAGCAAATACCATAGAAGTGAGACCGTAAAAAACAAAATTCCTGCTAAACTGAAATTGACAGGACCTACCTTCCCCACACAATTTGAGATCCAGGGGCAGTGGTGGTCAAACTGCTCCACACAGCGATTACATACAGCACAATGCTTAGAGCGAACAGGTCTTATTATCTGAAGGCAGTATACAATTAGAAGAAACACAAAGAACAGGTTATAGAAGGAAAGGATCGTAAAATCATTCACAATTCAACTTATGTTTTTCATCTTGATAGCTCATAATTAAACATCATTGAGAAACCTTGCAGGTAGGGCAAAGCTGTGACCAGTTTCCAGCCCAAACTGAGTTGCCATTCAAATCAATGTTCAACAAAGGATCCTGTATGAGATAAACAATTATTAGGTCACAATAAAGTAGAAGCCATATGACTTAGGAATTCAACCTAGTGAAATCATGCTCCAAACAGAAAAAAAGAACTACCTTGGTGTCAGAATGGTCACCCTTCACTGTGTTTATATAACCTGGATCCTTACTGCAGTAAAAGGACAAAACATCACAATTGCTATAAAACCATAGTTCAAGATACATCTTTTCATTTTCCCTTTGTGCATACGTGAATACAGAAACTTCATTGCTCATTACAATATCCATAAGGATACAACAACAAAGTCGCATGCATATCTTATTCTTGCATGTACAGCAATTTACATACTTTCGTAACTTAATTTGAATATCGTTAATAAAATAACAGTAAATGTCTACCTACTGCACCGGACAAACATGACTAAAGAGCCAACTGATAGAGAGACAGCAGTCCATCCCCAAAGCCCTACTATTGCAGTTACCTTCGCCAGAGTAGGGGCTACAGGAAAAGGGATGACAATTAGTTAGCTAAACAAACCAACTACAGCTACCAGAAAGAATCATCACTTACCAAGAAGGGCACAGCTGATGAAGAGAATTGTGTTAATAACCACCAACGAAAAAAGAATTGGGGCATAACCAACTTCCCTGCCATGCGCAGAGAACATCCTGTGGTTCCAGCGCTTGCTTTGCGCCCGCAATGCATTTGACTGCATTAAATCAAATTCACTCAATGTCATCCTGATGATAACATGAAAAGGTTTTTCACAGGAAAATTCAGAAAATGATTCAGCATAACTCTAGTGGGATTAAATAAGAAAAGGACATATGAAGTGGCTGTTAACGGATCAATTCCCCAACTGCGCCCTGAGGACATTCATAACACAGTGGTGGCCACCTATACACTTATCTAACGTCCTAGGCAGCCCTCGTCTATTAGTTTCATGCTTACCGATTTACAGTACAAAGTCAGCCTATAAATATTCGCTCATAATGAAAAAGGTATTACAATTCCATCATCAGAACCATCACGTTGAGATGTTGGGCTACTCTATCCAACATAAGCAGTAAGAAATAAAGGACCTAACAACATTAGAAAGTTAAGGAACATACATCCCCCATTTGTACCGACATATGGAAAATGTAATTAAGTGATATAATTATTAGTTACCAATAAAGTTACATACAAGGAAAAGAGCGATATGCCGATGACCTTTATCAGAAGCAAGCTCTATAGGAGTTTTTCCTGCTTTATCCTTTAACGTTAATTCATCCTTAGATCCTGCGTGTGCAAGCACACTGCATGCCTCCACGTTTCCTCTCAACGCAGCCCAATGCAAAGGTGTGCAACCTAGATGAAAAAAGAAAATACCACGACTTAGGCTTCCAATGTCAGGAATATAACCATGTACCATTTCATACATCCAACGGGGTTGTTGGATGCCATATTACTATATAAATAAACAAATATTGCCTCAGACAAAGGAGATAAAAAAAAAAAAAAATGCAAGAACAGCGATTGTGAACATCATATGTATGACTTAATTATCTTAAAAAACAATGGACAAAATTTTAGCCTATAGGGCACCACAACTTTTTGGCTCAAAATTACACTGCCACACTAAAAGATTTGACAAGTGCAGGTACAAATTTTTATCTGTCCAACAGCATATATTTGGCCAACATACAGCATTTTTCCGTAATTCAGTTATTTTATAACGAAATGATTGAAACCTACAACCCAACAAAGCACCTGAGAAACAGAAACATCGTGATAAGATTTCAGAGTTAATTGGTTTGACTTGTTCCTATTTTCCAATTCTTCTAATGAGAGAGAAACTCTGGATATTGGTCAATGACAGAATGTGTAGGCTGCACCCAATAAATAATGTCATTTAATAAGATGTAGAGGAGAAACCATTCAAATAATTAATTCTGTATAAATTGACTTATTGGGCTCAATACGCAAGAAATAGGGCCCACAAGATCATGTGGTTAAAAAAAAAATCACAAATATTGGATACAATCTGTAGTAGAGAATCACTCTAGTGTGTTACAGATTTGAAAAATGAGAATCAGGGTTTGAATTTGAGAATAGATAAGGATGATGAATGTGACACATTCACAGACAAGGAGTCAAACAAGCGTGACTTAAGTACTCAAATTAGTATACAACTAATCCGATATTTATGTGATCATTTCCTTAGCATTAAACTCACAATAACAATAAGGAAAAATAACCTTTTACTGTTCGTTCAATAAAGCAGCAGTCCTTTAATAAAATTGAAAAAAAAAACAAAAAAAAGGGAATGAAGGCAGTGCCAGCCTTTTTTGTTCTTTCAACTCATCAGTATACAAATATACATTGCATATAAAATTTGCAAGTTTACAGAAAAATGTGTTGAAACTAGCAAAGTAAATACTGAAAAGCAGTTGATATTTCTGGGTTGGTTCATTTTGCATTTCAATAAACAAGTATCATTCCCAGCGTAACAGTTCCTTTATGTATAATATAGATAATAGCTCAGGCCTCAGAGTGACAAAAAAACTATATTCAACTGATAGATACCTTCTTTATCCTGTCTTCCCTGGCTGGCTTCTCTAAACAAGAGCAATCTAATGGTATCAGAAAACCCTTTGTAAGCAGCCCTGTTCAAATTCGGAAGAGGATGAGTCCATGTCTGGTACTAAGATGCATAGTTTGACGCACCAATATTAACAGTTTCGCATTTTCCTATAAGCCACCAATCAGCAATAATCTTCACTCTTATTAGAAACAAAGCAATCAAGAATAAAAAGATACAACAAGCTGGCATTCTCTTGCAAAGAGCACGTGTACACTCCTGTTTCTAAGTAAACACAAGCTTCATCCCAATTGGCCAAAATATTGTTCCCAAATAAAAGAACACGACAGATTTACTAGACATCTTAACTATTTTATATTTATCCGAACTCTGAAAATCCAAAAAACAATCAGAAGGAAACATGCTTGTAGAGTCAAATTCACAAGGACAGCTAATCATCAATTAATTGAAAGTCGACCTTCTACAACCATAAATGACAATACTGAACAAGGCTCAAGAAGACCAAAGTCATGCATGAAAAGAACAACTTACTACGTCACAGTCAAACAAATATACCCAGGTTCTTCTCTTTATTCATCTCAAGTCATTGCAACTATTATTAAGGCAAACCGAAATTCTTTTGAAAACTTCAAACAGTTATCAAACAGAAATTTGTGAATTACACTTGATTTCAAACAATTTGGTGTTCGAGATAGATATTTCATATATAGAAAGTTTAATTAATTTCTTGTACAGACCTGACCAATTAAGAAAGGATATTTAATTTTTCTAATTCAGAATATTCAGATTTAGAATATCTAGGTTGAGAAGCAACTAAATAAAGGAGATATTATGTCAAAGCTCTTAGCAAAGAGAGACGGCCAACATACTACTACAAAACAACAATAGTATTACACACACCACTCATCGCAACACAGTAATTTTAAGTTGGAGTCGATGCCTTTTTCCCATGCGTTAATTTGTCAGCAAAAAGGCAACAAGTGAAACAGCCAAACATCAAGTAAATGAATTATGTTTAGAGGATATATGGTAACTGAACCAGTTGCATACCAGTGTAACGGGCTCCTGCCATCATTATCCGGCACATCAAAATCAGCGTGAAATTTAGCTACGATGTAATTCAAGAAAGCCGTTTGCCCGTATTGAGCAGCAACATGAGCCGGCTGCAATATGTAGAAATACAGCAAAAGTATTAAAAATTACACCACTTTTCAGCTCAGCCAGAGTACTCTGAGGCTGCCATGGACATAAGCATTACCCACCCAGCAAGAAAAAAAAAACAAATACATTACAGTACAGCTATTTCTTTTCAGTTTGTCTCCTAGCTCTCTTTTAGACACTCATCTCATTTACAAACTCACAAAATCGTTACAATCAATAATTCGATGCATGGAAAAGTGGAAGGATTATAATCACCCGGTAACCATTAACATCTGCAGCCTCGACTCTTGCCCCATTCTGCAGCAGCACATCCGCAGCCGCAATCGATCCTCGAACTGCCGTCCAGTGCAAAGCCGTCTGCCCCGCATTATCCTTCGCGTTCACATCCCCACCACGCTTTCAGAACCAAAAAACAAAACCATTAATTTCGCAATACAAGCCAGCAAAGAAAACCGAATAAGCTGATATATGAACAAATTACATCAATAATGTAGTGAACAACGTCGGCGAAATTGTTGAGGGCCGCCCACTGGAGGGGGTAGTAGCCGTTGCCGTCGGGCAGGGAGACGGAGGCGCCGTCGTCCTCGACGAACTTCCGGAGCTTGTCGAAGTCGCCGTACGCGGAGGCGGAGAAGACGTCGACGATGTGGACTTCGTTAGGGTTTCCGTTGGAGGAGATCTTGTGCTCGTTGGATTCTGAGACGATTTCGATTTCTGAAGTAGCCATTGGCGATTGAATCGATGAATTTTGCTTGATAATTTTCTTCGTGCGTGTTTTTTGGATTCAAATCAAACTAATTTTGATAGCGTGAAAGAAATGTTGGATCTTGTTTGTAAGCTATAGAACAGTAGTAGTAGGGGGAGAAGGTGGGGAGGATAAACTCCAAGTAGCCGGGCTATTTTGGTCATTTAAACAATATGGTCATTTCCATGATATAATTAAAAAAAAAATATTACCTCCTATTTTTTTAAAATGTCATTTTGGTTTTATCAACAACTAGTGCTAACAACTAGTGCGTATCCCGTGCGATGCACGGGTAAACAATATTAGTTAATGATTATAAATTAAAGATGAGGTTAAATAATATTAACTAATAATTATAAATTAAAGATATGAACTTAATATTTAATATAATTTATCGTATATGAGTTGTAAACAATATATAGTTATCTTGTATAAAAGAATTTGAAAAAATGTATGTTTAAAGTATTAAAAACGTCTAAAATATTATATAACATATGTAAAAGTATCTAAAATTTTAAATATCATTATTGAAAGATGTGGAGTCATTTAAATTTTTTTTAAACTATTTTATAAAAAAAACATGCCTAAAACTATTTATATTTGACATATGTATACGTATATGTGTATGTAATGTGTACATAGATAGAATGTGTACGTCTAAATGTTTAAACTTATATAAAATATTATGAGTCTAATAAGAGATATTGTCTCGCGAAACGAAGTAAAAAAAATAAAAAAATAAAAAAATAAAAAAAGCAAAGCAAGGCAGTGAGATGATATCGATAATTATAACATAACTTCCATGTAAAGTTATAACAAATAAAATAGAATTTTATGTCTAAAATTACCATTCTTTATCTCTTATTCTTTTTTTATGTAATACAAAATCTTATATCACATACGTAAAAAGTATTCAAAATATTTTACATTATTTTTGAAATATATGTGAAGTCATCTAAAATTTTTCTAAACTATTTTATAAGGAAAACAATTTCTTGATCTAGAGAATATGTAAAAATTTGTCTAAATATTTTTAAAACATTAAGAATACCTAAACTATTATATAAAGTGTGTAAAAGTATCTAAAATATTATATATTATTCCTTAAAAATATGAAATTATCTAATTTTTTTCTAAACTATTTTATAAAAAAAAATATCTAAAATCACTTAAAGTTAACATTTCTCTCTCTCTATATATATACACTTTAACGAATGTGTAAAAAAAATTGTTCAAACAACATGTTTAAATTATATATAATATTATATATAAAAATATATTTAGAGTTATATCCACTATTATATATTATAGTCTAAAACACCGTTGGTTTAACAAACATTAATAATTTTAAGCAAAAATATTAGAAATTACAAATACCATAAAAAAATAATTAGACAATAACATGCGCTAATTTTTTTATAAAGTAGATACCCTAAAAAAATTTTATTAGACAATAATTCGGACTTATATTTTGGAGAATTGCTTTTTTTTATATAGTAGAGACCGTTTTTCTTATTATTAAATAACTGCTAAAATTTAATCTATAAGATTCTTTAATTTGTGAATGATTGAAAATCAATATCCGTGGTATTATTATTTCTTAATATAAAATAAGTTTTATATTAAGGAGAATTAATGGGATAAGATTTTTTAGTAGGATAAAATTTTTTAACGCAAAATCAGTGCATTGGTCAATTACAAAATAACAACATCCCAAAAATCTTGGAAAGCATTAATTGCACGGGGAAGCTTTAAAAAAATATTTATTACCATTAATGGCAAGTAATTAATGCAAAACTTGTTGACTAAGATTTTGACTTACCATTTTTAAAAACTGGTAATTCTTATTATATATACTAGTACTAATCCCGTGCGATGCACAGGTAAGAGAAATTCTTTAATATTTAGAAATTAAAATTTCTCATTAAATAATATTTATAAATTAAAAATATGGAATCAATATTACATTTTACCTATTAATATCTATTGAAAATGTTATATAAAATTTAAAATTATGCAAAAGTACATAAAATATGTCTATTTAAAATTAGTATACAACTCGTACGGTGCACATAACTGATAATAAATTACATTACACTAATTCCAAATGAATGTAATTTTTAAAGATTTTATTCAGAAATTCGATTTGATTACAATGTGATTCCATTTTCATAGAATAAATATTTTAGTAAAATTTTATCGTATATTCAAAAATCTATGTGAATAATAAGTATAATTATAAATCTTATAGTATTCCATTAATTAGATGGTTTTATTTTTGTATAAAAATTCAAATCAAAATATTGAAGTGATTGAGTAATTTATTAAACTATGAATAATTGACTATTTACGTCAAAGTAAATGTTCACTGGTAAGTTATGAATAATTACTTATTTGACTTATGAATTTGGAATCCAAATTTGGACTACACACCAAATTCCCTTATATATTTGATATATGAATATATATTATATATATATAATCTCGCAATTTTGTAGAGTCGTTGTCGATTACCTTATAATTCAAATTTAACAATTAATTTTCTAGAATAAAATTACGGATTTTTAATTTTATTAACCAATATTTCTTCAAATCTTATGGTAAGTTATATTGTAATATGCTAAAATTTAAGAATTATATCACCTTAATTTTACAACAAATCAGCCTAAAATTTGGCTTTCATACTCCTACTAAATAAAATTCATACCACTTATTTGTTTAAAAAATTTCCAAATATACTTTTATTCCTACCAAATAACTATATTTCATGAATGATAAATTAATTTATGTAAATGTTCTTTTCTTACTAAACTAATAATTCATATATTAATTTAAAAGATGAATCGTTACTTTATCAATTCAATGTCACATATACTTGATGATTGAAAAATTTATTTATATATATTTTATATTTTCTTAAATAAAATTTTCAAATAGATTACTGTAATAAAAATTATATAATATAAATTTTATCAATGTAAATTTATAATTTATTTTATTATAATTTATAATAAAATTCTGTTAATTGATAATATTTTATTTAAAATATTATCAATTAACAGAACTTAATTATTTATATTTCATGTCTAAAAACAATTATCTATTCCGCCATGTGTTATTATTTGAAAGCTTATATATATTTATTTTCTTTTGGTCTTTATCAAACTTAGAGTTTATTATTTAATTATTCTTACATTAGTGTCTCATACGATTTATGTATTGGTCCAACTATTTGGAAAGAACAACATTTATTTTGTAAACAAAAGGTGAAGTTCTCATATTGTTTAGAGAATAACAATTAGCAATTAGAGAATAACAATTAGCAATTGAAAGATATTCTGTTTTTTATTCACATGAAAAATAATATAAACTAAAAGAAAAATGACAATTTCCAAGCCTATTAAATATAATTTCATACGTTATTTATTTATTTATTACATGATTGCTCACTTTTGTTTAATGTTTATCACTTGTGGTTCATTAAATAATACTCTACAATTATTTATAATAACATCAATGCAATTATCGTTTGAATAACCATTTATTGCACTTAATAAGAAAGTTTCAATCACGTGTGTTTTAATGTAATGCTGTCGGCGTGTTTTGAGGGGGGAGAAAACAAATTTGCTATTAATAGAAAGTAATTAATGCTAATCCATTTTGACTATTAATTTGACTTGCCATTTTTAAAAAATGGTAATTCTTATTATATATATATATAGATTTAACCAAATAAATTACGTTTTGTATCTTTTGTACATATGTTTCCATTATTACCTTCATCTAATTAATAAATACACTACGTTCTTTTCATATTCACTTTTCTATCTTTTCTCCAAACATTCATCTCTATCTTCATTAATGAAATTTATTATTAGCAAAAAAAATTATTCTTAATTACTGTGTAACTTCTTAAAACGACACTTATTAAAAATAGAAGAGAGTAGTTATTATTATTGGGAAATACTACGGTCGCGTTAGGGAACCATTCCGTCGAAGTTTGTAACCGTAACATCTCCCTTTATTATTATACTTCTATCAATAAATTTAAGCTAATTGGAGATAAATCCTCAATCACAACTTCATTTTCTCAATAAGCTCCTCAACCTGTGTTTTTCAAATGCACTCCCTACACATACATTCTTTTTTCCTCTACATTACCCCTACATATATTAATATTATTATTAACCATTTATTTTATTTGAAAATCATAAAATTTTGGAAAAAGAACAGAAAATTGTGATTGTCCCCAAAAAACTCGTCCATCATCCTCACAAATTCATCTGCATATGTGTTGCCGGCCATCGTCCGCCAAAATAAAGGCACCTCCGTGAAGCTTCCCCCGCCATCTGTAAGAAATTTAACGGGCATACTCATAACTATCAGGCGGAATTGAATAAACCCTAAGCATGTAATTCTATCAGTTCATAGAATATGGATCGTTGCATAAATTAAATTGCACATAGAACTTACAAGAATCCAGCTTATAGTCCTTCCCTGTTTTCTTGATCTATGATGTTGATCTGCGATCTCTTCCTCCTCGTAATGTCATGGATCTATCTTTCTCATAATCTCCAATGATTGATTCGCTTTTGCCTATGAATCGTTTTTCTCTCCCGCTTCTCTCGTCTTTTCATAAAGCCCTTGATGTTGAGAACTTTATTTGCGTATGAGATGGGAGAGAGGGGCATGTAGTATATATAGGAGGAATCCTACAAACCTATTCCTACTAACATTCCCCATGTTCTAACCTAACTTACTGTCCAAGTCAAACATCACAAATTGGACTCTTTAATATTAGAACATTAATAATCCATTAAATACATATTCACCTTAAATAAGTTTGACTATTAATTCAATTAGGTCCAACTAATTATATGGTCCACAATAATAGAATAATATAAAATATTATTACATTCTCCCACTTGGACCATATAGTGTCGAAACCCAAAGAACTACTTTAAGCGCGCACTTTTCATCAAACTTATAATTGAATACATATATCTCTAAATTTAAAATCAAATTAGAAATTAACCGAGTCATGGCGGTCACAAGTCTTCGAGCGACATGATCCCTTCCATGTACCACAAATTATTTCTAATTCAATTTTACTTTAATATGGGACAAACTATTCGT